TACATACCCTACCCCAGACTAAAACTAAGAATTGTACACCCTATCCCAGACTAAAAGACGGAAAAGACGGTTATTCAATATATTGCAATCAATATTTACTAACGTTTTTATTGTTTTTGTGCCGGCAGAAAGCGCAGCCTTTTTGCCAGACAAAAACGACCAAATCGTTAACCCTATCCAAGACAAAATGTCAAAAAATGATACCCTACCCAGACCCAAAAGCCAAAAATCCATACCCTATAGGGTGGCACATACCCGTATAGCAAATATAAGGCAGTACCCCCCTTCCCCGGGCACTGGACCTAAACCTGAGTCTTTTGGACTCCATTTCTGACTTCATTGTTTTCGGTCTTTCTTTAATTTAACTCGTAAGAAAAAAATTAAAACTAGCGTATGGGATTCCAAATCCCTTCCTCATACATTTTTTTACTTGAAAAACTAATATATATTAAATATATTAAAGCAAGAGAGAATATTCTCTTGATTAAAGATATTAATACTATTTTGATGGTTGTATCTTAATTTTTATCAAAAGCTTTTCTTTGGATATACCAATCGTAATTTCTAGCATTCGAGGCAATATTTTGAAATATTGAGTTGGCTGCTAATTTCAGCGCGGTATTCCAGTACCCTTGTTGGAATAATTTTCATGAGATTTTCGAGGCAGGGTCCCTCTTGTCGGTTATGTGGAAGAATAGCAAGACACCTCGGGATCTAGCTTTCCTTGACTTGGGCGAAAGAAGTGAGCGTATCGAAAGGATCGGGTATTCATCGAGTTACGCGCTTCGAGTTATGCGTTTCGAGTAACACGCTCGACCACACCCAAATTTGACTTTGCCACGCAGTGCGCGTAACTTGATGACATTAAGAAAGTTGTGTGCGTTCGAGTTGCGTTATATTTCCGTAACTCGAAAAACGCGTAACTCGATGAATACCCGTCCTCCTTATCGAAGTGTGTTTATCGAAATATTTGGTTACCTCAACTATGTAAATGCCTGGGTTGAAGGCCATTTCTGTCTAGTCTACTAGAGCCTTGACCATTTTATTTTTCTTATATTGTCGTTTCTTACTCATTCCTTACCAAAATTGGCATGGCCACATAACTTTATGGGCTAAAGGTTTTAGGATAAAATTTTTTGAGATAAGGCGGTCACGTGACCTTGATCCTTATTTCCATACACCCCAAAAATGTGAATTAAGATGGGGTAACGGTAATCATCTATACATTAAACTTTATGGCATATTTTCATTCTTCCCAGTAAGAGGTATATCAAACTGCCCTAACACCTGAACTACCATTGTTCATTTAGGGGTGACTTGCTTGTTCAATCTAACAAAAAACAAATATCCCCTAAATGAGCAATGGTAATTCAGGTGTTAGGGCAGTTTAATATACCTCTTACTAGGAAGAATGAAAATATACCAACCATAAAGTTTAATGTATAGATGATAACCATCACCCCATTTTGAGTATTTTGCAGTATATGAAGCAACTAATGTAGCTGCAAATTGAAAGACTCAGAAAACAAATTCCGAGTCTTGAACGGGATTTGAACCTGTGCCCTGGCTATTCCGGTGCCATGCTCTAACCACTGAGTTACCAAGTCTCATRTGAGACAACAAGGACAGGTGGGTTTATCAGTCCGTTAGAAGAGATATAGAGCATATTGATGGTTTTHACGGCAGCCATGTTGAAGGACTTTAACAAAAGAATTGTCAATGAATTCTTTTGTTATATCCTCCAACATGGCCGCAGTGTCTTTTGTTATTTAATCCTCATGGGAATGGTTGAAACCCATCAACACCTACAGAACATCCTCCTTTACAGCACATGCAGTAAAAATATTAATTAAAAACGAAGTTGATGCTGACAAATAGTACTATTTAGTGACTAATAGTTGCTAGCACTCAACCAGAACATTCGTTACACAAAGACAAATACAGAAGAGACCATTTGTGTGATGAAAGTTCTAGTCGAGTGATAGCAACTATTAGTCACTAAATAGCTACTATTTGTCAGTAGAGTGCATGCACTAAACCCGTGAATAACATTTAGTACTAATTTAATGGTATTAATTCATACAGAAACCCTTTGCATCCTATTGTTGGATTATCACTAATCACTATTTAGTACTAAAAATTAGTATTTGTTTCACTGGTTTAGTGCGAGCACTATCAATTTTGTTTTTATTTAATGGTTTTACTGCACACACCCTTTGGTGTGCATTCTAATGAATTATGTTCAGAAGCTGAGAAAGTTCAAGCTCAATTTTGAAACACCCTTTTAAAAAATTGAATGAAATGGTGAATCAAATGAGCTTTGGACTTCTATGTGAACTGCAGACACACAACACCCCCCATTTTGAGTTCCCCTTTTCTCAGTATTAACCCTGATGATGTTTTCTTTCCTTTTACAAAGGTCCATTTCATAGTAATTGTACATACTACAAAACAATACAAGTTGATTAAATTTCCACAGGTTTTCAATGAATACCCCAATATTTCTAACCCAAAACTGAGAGTAAGGCTGAGCAAAAGGGAGCTTGAAACTGAAGTATAAGCAGAGTAAGGTCAACCAGGTTTAGACAGTCATAATCTGATCGTCATGTGACATTTATTGACAATTGAAACAGCAACAAATGACTATGTAACTAGAGTAATAAGCGATTGTAATCAGTTCAGATCGGCAGTAAAAAGAACAAGTTCATTCCAAACACATGCGTTACTTAACACAATTCTACATTGACAGGTTTTGCTAAAATGGAATCAAGGAATTAAAAATGTTGCATTCTCTCTATTTAGTCCCCCCTCCCCTTCACCCACCATTCTTGAAAGACATCATAGGCAGCAGTATAACAGTGGCTTCAAAAGAAAAGATGAGATTCCCTCATAAACATGGCAGATGTTTAGTTAAATATACATCTGTTTCATGTTAAGTTGTATATGCATGATTCCTTTTAGTCTTGGAATAACCTGTCTCCTTTTTGTTTTGGGCTATAGCAACCCTTTTTGAAATTAGTGTACATAATATAGGTGACAAAAAGTAGATTACCCATATGATAAAATGTTCATCACAAGTGTATATCTTATACTTAAATTTAGAAAAATACTCAGAATAATACTTTAGCCTTTTCCTACCTGATTAAAATAACCTCCCCCCTTTTCTATTAAAGCATGCCTTGTAATGAAGTGGAAATAAATAAGCCCCAAAGGGACTTAACAGAGAGAATACTGTTTTACATAGAGAAATTCTTTTCTCCCTTATTTCCTTCAGGTGAAGGAAGGAGCTCTAGCTAGCAAGGAAATGACTGTGTCTTAACATGTTGATAAAGAGTGCCAGGTGTAATTTCCTTACTCAACAGTCTTCAGTTTCTTTTTCTTCTTCTTCTTTTCCCCATCCTCGATTTTAATTTCAATTTCCGGCTCTTGCTTCTTCTTTTTCTTTTTCTTGGGCTCCTCACTCTCATTTTCAACGACCTCTTCTGATTGTCTTTTCTTCTTTTTCTTCTCAGAACTTTTCTGAGTAAGACTTTCACCATGGCCATTCAAATGATTTTCATTTTCATCCTCTTGGGGCCTGCTTTTCTTTTTCTCCTTCTTCAACTTTTTTTTCTTTTTCCCACTGCTCTCATCGTCATCTTTGTTAAACTCTTCAATGGCTTCTTTCATGACGTCTATGTTCTTCCTCGGAGCTTCACCAGTCTCATAGAAATTTAAGCGATCCTCAACTTGGTCGTGCAGTTTTGTTCCAAACACGGAGGTTGGTTTTTCTGTAAAATCAAAGCAAACTACTATATGAGATTAAAGACAAAACCCAAAATAAATAAAAAATTAATTAAAAGGAAATAATTGCATGGACTTGAAATCCCTTCCAGTCCTTATTGTCGGCTTTAAAATATTACATAAAATATCTAGGTATCCGTCTTGGTAAGCACTTAGATTGAAATACCCATGGAAACATGGTTTACTTCAAAAATATCTTGAACTATAGGTAAACTTTCTAAAATGAGGCATTTTCTGAATATTGAAACCGCTAAAATATATCTTTATTTCTAGTTAATCTAGCCACATCTTACCTATCATCTTTTATTATAGGGTAGCTCTTATACAATCTCTTGTTATTCATCAAAACAAAGCTTTACAATGACTTTTTCCAAATTTAATTCCCCTCCCACACCTTTACTCTAAAATCTTCAAAAACTCACGACTAATTCAAGAGAATATGATATATTAGGCCACAAGCCATGGCTTTAAACTTTTATTGTGTGAAATAGTTATTCTTATTCTTATCCAACTGGAGCGATCATACAAGTCACATGCATGGACTTTTAAACCTAAAAAAGTCCCATTCATTAGTATTCTTATATAAAGAATCATTGATAATGAGAACTAAAACTTTATATTAAGTAGCCAGCGAATAAGTTAGAATCAAGTCTAGATTATGCAACCCAGTTAAAAACCTTTGAGGGATAAATGTTACCTGAGAAACAGTCGATTCTTGAAGCTATTGAACATTTGTTTGCCAAGTATCTAGAGATACGACCCTTGTTTTTCTTGTTTGCACGTCCAATGAATGACGAATGGAAGATGAGTCCATATTTTGGTGTATTGCCCTTTTTCTTTAAAGCTCTAAAAAAAATTAAATTTCATAAATTTTATTTGTAAATATAGTTTTGTAAATGTTTCATCTCTCTCTCTATTTAATTGTTACTAAATAAGTACATTACTTTAGAGATCCAAATCCCGGTAATCCCCAATCTGGGTGCCACTAATACTTTTTATGCATCATACGATTAAGGACCACAGGAAAGAAAGATTGTTTCTCTGTAACACTGAGTTGACTCACAATCTAGAGCCAGGTTCCCTGTGGCATAGTTGCATTTATTTCTATGCAAACTTACCTGAAAAGGGCTTTCTCAGCTCCCAGAATCTGAACTGTTGATGCTGGATATTTGGCTAAGTTGGTAAGGCTACCAGCATGTGAAATAAGTCTTGCACCAACCTAAGGACATAATAATGATCAAAAACTAATGAATAATAAATGAGCATTTAGACCTATCAGGTACTTTAAATCCATCACATGCATGGATCTTTATACCTGATAATAGTTCAACATGAACATCTTTATATAAAGATTTTGAAATCTTTACAGAGGGCCAAAAGAGTACAAGAGTTTGGCACCAATAAGAACCCTAAATGATCATTGATTATTCATGAATTGAATGAAGTCTCTCAATAAACTTGCAGATTGTGTCTTATCAGGTTTAAAACACTCCTGCTCATTTATTAAACTACACTTATGTTATCTTCATTGATTTTTTAATATTAGCTTTTTCTGTCAAGGCAGGGACACCACGAGAGATTTCACCACTAACAATAGGTCCTGTAGTGTACAGTAAGCACTGGCAATCAAAATAATGGTCATGTGARACTGGTTGTATATTTGTTGGTATGTAATGTTCAATAAACGAGCAGGAGTGTTTTATCGGGTATAAAACACAAGGCGTAGCCGAGTGGTTTTAGACCCGATAAAACACAATCTGCGAGTTTATTAAACAGCTTAAAAAACTCATGATGGATGTTCTCATATTGTACAAAATGAACCAAGTTTGATAGAGAAAATCCAAGTTAAAATTTATGCAAATGAAGATGAATCTATATCAGATATAAAACCTCCTTCATGGTCATGCTTTCTATTGTGTTTTCCTGATGAATTATTAATGAGTTTCTAATTTTATTTAAAAACACTGAATTGATGCAGTGAATAGGCAATGTCTGCAAAATTCAAACATCTGACAAACAAATCAAAAAATTGATTTTGTTTATATTTGATCTAAAGATGTGGAATACCACCTAAATAAATGTACTGCTTTTATTTTGAGAGAATTGATTTTGGCTGTTGGCACCCTCGATTCAGCCTACATCCGAGGTGAAAATGGTAGGTCTGAGAAAGGCGCTCGCGTATAAAAATGAAGCAAACTAGAGTAGATCATATTTTAGAATATGGTAAAGGAAAGATTAAAGATTTGTTTAAGCTAAAATATAAATGGTGAAACACAATTTAATTACACCCTTTCATAATGGCTGACAAGTGCACGAAAACGAGGTCACCCAGTCATTATTTCACAATAAAAGATATAAAATTACATGAAATGAAAGAAAAGTAGAAAAAAATGACCTTTGTTTTGATCTGAATTAGCGCTAACAGCCTTTATTTTGAATGAGCAGCTTGGCTCAACCATGCAAGATGACTGGGTGACCTTGTTTCCGTGTGTTCATCAGCCATTATGAGAAGGGTGTATAAGTGAGCAGGAAGTACTATTTACAAACTACATTTTTCTGATTCTCAGATACTTAAATTTTTACAGATTAGTTTGCGAAGTGCATTTTCATGTGCACCTGGGTGTCAGGATTTATCTGAAATTCTAGCCATAATACCTTTAAATGGTAAGCTAAATCATATGTAAAATTCACTTTGTGTTAATTACTCAGCACTATAAACAAGACTCTTGAATTCAGAGAAATTTGGGTTTGGGCTTGGCATCCCACGAAACCTATTTGAGGGAAACATAACTATATACTTAATATATTTTTTGGTGTTCAGTTCTGACATTTGTTTTAATGTCAATACTTGTTGATTGAATATAGAATGCAATACATTATATTTCTTTGCCGTTTTTTAACATTAGTTTAAAATATTGTTACTTTAAAGATTACAATCATTTGAAATAAGCATGTAAACACACTCATCGGCACAATTATCAATATGATACTTAAGCCGATATAACTTCAGAGTTCTAAAAAGAACAACATTGTCCAGATTTAGGATAGTTAGACTAAAAACTCAGGGAGTTTCTTTTATTCTTTTCTCTTTTTATATATGTAAGATCATTTATTTTTTTCAAAGCCAATCATGACAGCAGGATTTTTCAAGAAAATAGAGATTTCACCTATTCATTATAGATACCAAAGCAAGTATTTTTAGGATCAAGCCTGGAGCTAAGGTCCATAAGCAAAATTAAGAGCTGTAAATCTTGGGCTTTCTCCAAAAGAGATTGAAATGTAAAGAAAATTGTTTCAAGCAAAATTAGAAAATTTCCAAATACCTCAGCAAGGAACCGTAAAGAAAAGTCATCTGGCCTCTGCTGAACAGCCAGTTGGACCAAAGATAAATTAATCATTTTCAAGTTATATGGTGAACAAAAATTATAGAAGTAATATTTTCAAAAACGAGTGTGAGTATTTCCTTAGGGTTTCCAAACATGAGAAAATATATGAAAACACGAGGCCATAGACAAGTGGATGAGAAAAGTGGATGGAAAGTGGAAAGTGGATAAAAAAAACACACACGACAAATATGTAGATTAAGAAATATTTCAAACACTAGTGATGAAAATGGTTTTTCATTAGGTTTCAAAAAAAAACCATCTATGTGATCTGAATAGTGCCCCTCCATTGGTTGCTGAGCATATGAATTATTAATGAGTTTGAGAAGCCAAATTTCAGTACTGAGAATAAAGATAACCCAAGATGAATTTTACATATAATTTAGCTTAGCATAAATAAATAGATAAATCCGAACACCCAGTGCACATGAAAATATGCTTTGCAAACTAAGGGTAAACTTTAAATATCTGAGAACCAAAAAAATGAAGTTTGTAAATAGTCACCTGACCATTTCACCTTTTATATTTGAGCTTAAAGGAAACTTTAATCCTTCCCACTAAACCGCTTTCCAAAATCAGATCTTCTCAAGTTTGCTTCATTTCGATATGCAGGTGGCCTTCTCAGACCTACCATTTGCACCTTCGATTTGAACTGATAAGAGGGCATCAACAGCCAAAATAGAATTTCTTTATTTTCTTAAAATAACAGTGAAATGATCCAAAATGATCACCAGTACGCTTTGGACCAAACATAAACAAAATCTATTTCTTCAACTAGGCCACCAATTTTCTATTATGTTTGATTTTTACAGACATTGTCTCTTAAACCTTGGCTACGCCTTGTGAATCCACAACATTTTGACGGCCAGATGGTAAATAAGAAGACATACCACTGAAAACTGTAGGAAATTGGTTAACTACCTCATTTTCTGTGAGATGGATGGACTATCTATAGCTCAACTTACCAATTCACCAATTAGAGATGAAAGATTTGGTGCAACACTGGACATTTTAGATATTAGATACTGATGCAGACTTTTCCTGTAATCCGATAAGCCTATAACTTTCCCAGCAAATGCCTCTATATTCATCAAATCTAATGGAGAAATGTCCATTCCTGTAAAAGAGAGGGAAAAAAACATCAAATCCTTCCAATCCCTAAAACAAATTCCATGGTCATACTTTGATCATTTTTAATTTGATAATTTTTTTTAAACATTTCTTGTCAATATAAATATGTTGGCCTGTAGAGTAAATAAAGGAATACTTAGAAAGCATATCTTTTTTATTGTGTTCAACTTTGATACTTATATTATATCCATGACCCATAATTAATAATTATGATGCCACCTAAAATACAGTGTGCAAAATGTGCATGCATAAACTCACAAAATGTGAGTTAAATTTTTCCCTATTGCAGGTAGAAATCAAATGAACTGAAATTTCTTGTGGATATGGGAAGCATAGTAGAGAGTTAAATTGTGAGGGGTCTGAATATGCAAACATGTCACTTAATCACTCACATTTTAGCTAATCATTGATGAAATGTTTATCAATTGTCTTACAGTACATAATCTGCTTATGAAGGTTACACAGAACTTTTGGTCTCCATACAAACAGGTACATGTAAAAACTTCTTATTCAATAAAGGATTAAATCAGCTATTTATGTCAGGAAGTGGAGTCTGTGTTCGATGTGGAATGGTTTCTAGCACGGAGCATGGTCACACTTATACATAGCTGTACCTTTCAAATTGTTTACTTTGTCATTTTATTTTACCTCAACCTGCATCTTTCCTTGATTGTTTTGATATAAATAACCAAAAGTAAAGCCATATGAGATTGTGGGCATGCTCAGTGCTAGACCTCATCCCAAATCAAACAGTGAAATTCCAGCTTCTGATATAAATAATGTATCTTTTTAAGCCTCTATGGAATAAGAACTTTGTAATTGTACACAACCATGAAAGTTACCCAGGATATTGTTTGGAGCCCTGAGAGAACTCGGTAGGAGTTTTCATATAGAAAAGCTTAGTAATTTTCGCCTTACAGATGAGATGAATGGCATTTTTCTCAAGAAAAAACAATCCAAAAGGAAAAAGCAAAAAGCATAATGAGCATTCTTCTTTTCCTTACTTGGAAATGAACCCTGAAAATGACTTGAATTACATAAGACTTACCCATAGAAGACTTTGAAGCCTCATAAATTGCTTTGGCCTTGCCTTCATCCATCACTATTTCCTCCAGAGCTTCTAGTTTGTCTTCTGTGAAGTCTTTTCTTGACTTGATAAACTTTGCTACTTTAGCATACATATAATTATCACCAACAATCTTAACCAACTCTGGAAAATGATAAGAGTACCACTCCCTGCAATATTAAAAAGATCATGAAATCAAAACTAATGTAATGTATATGCAGCTTTATTAAGGCCTGTCAAACTAGCACGATATATGATAGTATTAAGTCCCTTGCCTCATTGGCCTTCAAATATTTTGCAAAATGAAAATAAACCAATGTGATATTTTTTAACTGTAACATTTTTCACTTCTTAAAATACTTTGTATATACGCCATATATTTCAAATCACAGCTTTAACAATCCAGCAAAAGAGGGAGTCAAAAACAGTGTTTTTCTGTTTCTATCTATTCACTTTCTTTGAAGGACATACAAGCAGAGCTTCCTCCAGTAGTGTATAAAGATGGCACTCAAAGTCATGCTTTGACATGCATAACATAATTTGTAATCTTTACTCATAAGGACTTTTTGTGATTCAAAACCAGCTTGGCTATTTTTATGGGTACTTCTCCACTTCAACAGGGAATAGAAAAGTGTGCTTTAAGGAAGTTTGCAATTAATCTTTCGACCAAAGAAGTCAAAAGTCAATAAGATAAGAAGCATCAAGTCGAGTAAACTACTCAGTATTTAAACTCAGCAGACAAATTAGATAAACTCTTGATTACAATTCGATTGTATGTACTTAATTCACTAACTTCAACATTTCACTTATAGAAAAAGTCTAGTTTAGAGGACTGAAAAGTGCAACTAATATCCATGAGTTTGCCAAAGGGCAATTTGATTTCATAAAATCAAGGTGATCTAACTAGGTTTGCAAAGCATGTTTTCCTTATTACTAAAAGAATCAATCCCATTAACCACTGTATGCTCAATTCACTTGAGTTTAGTGCCGCCAATAACAGATATGTGGCTTAACTGAAGTTTTGAAGCATCCTGGATATTGCTAAACACTTTTTTAAGCCTTAAAATCTTGGCTAATGACATTTTTTCTTTCATTTTACTTTCTGTCATTTTGTCCCCCCCCCCCCCCCCCCCCCCCCCCAAGGATGGGAGGCATGGGATTGAATACCATAATANTTTAAGCCTTAAAATCTTGGCTAATGACATTTTTTTTTTTTTTTTTTTTTTTTTTTTTTTTTCCCCCCCCCCCCCCCCGCACATCAAGGATGGGAGGCATGGGATTGAATACCATAATATAAAGAGGAACACTAACCTGATTCTCATTGAAAAGGTGTTTATGTCTTTATCCAGTTGATCCAACAAGGCAATTGACTGAATGATCATGTTATCCACTCTATGAATATTGAACTTTACTTTGGCTCGGGAATAACTGTGCCCTAAACCAAGCTGTGCTTTTGCTGCCATTTGCCCTGTAAGGCCCTTGATCATCTTCTCAAAATGCAGACGAATTCCTCTCAACACCTCAGTAACTACATTATTTGATTCACAGAAGATTTCTACTGACTCTTGGATAGCAGCACTCAGTTTGCTGTCACTAACGCCAAGGCAAACTTTGGACTTCTTTTTGCCAGTGGGTACATTGGCTTCTAGGAATGCTTTTAGATCTTTATGAACAACTCCTACCAGCACAAAAATACAGCAATCAAGAAACTAGTAACTGAAAATGTATATAACCTGACTATTGTACTTCGTAAAAATCATTTTCACAAAAATGAATATACAACAATAGTATAGGTAATAGAACGTTTTCCAACAACCGGGGTTAAAAATTCTAATGAGTTTGCTAATATGCTAATGATCTACGTAAAGTACTGCCAGCTAAATTAAACTGAAATAATCTGCGTGAAGAAGTTTTAACCTTAAAATGCTAGTCTTATTGCACTTTCTGTGAACTTGTCATAATTATACAAATGTAAACGAACTCAACGTTAAAACGCTTGCCATTCTAAAACGTGCTTACAAAACTATTAACGCTATGTTTGGTTTTAAGAGAAGTAAACTCGCTGTTGCTGGTGCTGGCCTATCTCCAGCTTTTCAGAAGTTTCAAATATGTAACTTCTGAGAAGCCAGAGATAGGCCAGCACCAACGAGTTTACTTCTCTAAAAACTCACTAAAAAGTGTTACAAGATTTTTATAGAAGTTTTATTCAACAGCAACGTTTGTAAATTACAAATCTTTTAGTAGAAGTGACAATATACCAGCTCGCTATGACAGTCGAGACTGAAGATTTGATTCCATTTTTGAATAGCTTAGTTATTCTTATCTAGATATTTGTCCACCTTGCTTGAAACGGCATCTACTTTACTCATCGTTTCCAAAGCCTTTTCACACATTTTCTTATGTGCAGCTTGGGTTTCTGCTGCATTGTCAACCTTCCTCTTTTTAGATACCTTGTTCGTACCGGCAATGCAGTCATCTTTTTCATCAAACTCGCTCTCGCATGATGATGACGCAACATACTCTTCCTCTAATTTGTCCTTCACTGCTTGTCTTCTCTGGGAAGGTGTTTTCTTCTCTGCATACTTCATGGAGTCTATTGGTTCAGTCGGGGAAGCCAACATTTTCTTTAAAATGTTCTTCATTCTGGTTATCAGTCGACTTGCCAGTGGGCTCTCCAGATAGAGTGCCACAACATGATGAGGGAGTTGTGCCTCTAGGATTCTTTCTTTGCAGTACTATAGGTTTTCAGGTCACTCTTTGCTATTACATTCGTTGTAGCATTTAGAAATAAATTCAATTTCCTTTTCACCAACATTAGCACGCTTTGGTAGTGATCCTATCACAATTAAAATTATAAACCATAATTTGAAAACGATAATAAAATTAATTTGTCGCAAAAGTCCAGAAATGGACTTTTTAAAAATGGTTTACTTACCTAACCTATGCAAATTTCCCGGTATTGGAGAATCTTTTTGTGACATCTTGACAAAACGTTTATCAGAAATAATCAAGTAAACTAGCTAAACTCAATTGTCACTCGATGGGCACTGAATGCTCAGAAAATTCTGAAGTGCAAAACTCTAAACAGCCTGGACTAATTACAATAACGGTGTTAGTTGCACGCTTCGATTTTGATTATTCAAAAAATAGAAGTTTGACTGGTAGTTACTGTGAACTTGAGATGCAGATTCAGGATATACGTGTCCTGCTTTTGCAAATACTAGCAATTTTGATACTTCTGTCTGCTTTTCAGAAGTTCACAGAAAGTGCAATAAGTCTAGCATTTTAAGGTTAAAACTTCTTCACGCAGATCATTTCGGTATAATTTAGCTGGCAGTACGGTACGTAGATCATTAGCATATTAGCAAACTCATTAGAATWTTTAACCCCGGTTGTTGGAAAACGTTCTAATACCAGTGTGAGAAGAATATTGATGTTTAATAAATGAGCAGGAGTGTTTTATCAGCTTGAAGACCTGATAAAACATGATCTGTGAGTTTATTGAACAGCTTCAAAAACTCTGGAATAATTCACAAACCTTTGATAAGTTGGTGCATCAATGTCATGTGCACTGAAGCTTGTATGTCAGTGACATGCGCACTCATATTATTGCATATAAATCTCCATGCATGCAAGGTGTATGGTCGTTTTAAATTAGGTCAATTGCTTATGAATTATTTTTGAATAAAAATACCATTAATTCTTCAAGAACTGATGCATTATTTTCTTTTTATAATACATCTACATAAAATATGTGTTTCTGAAGTAAAAAAAAGGATATCGCCTAACAGATTCCTTGGGAATCAAGCTGGAGTTAATGAGCTATTAAACTGCATGTAATTTTGCCAACATTTTAGAGTGGACTACACTTTGCACATTTACAAGGACCACGATGTTCACGGAGAAATCTTTCGATTTCCTAGAATAAAGCCCGAGTTCACGCAGATATGCGTCTAGTTTTATATTCCTCAAACGTTATATGCAGACGTTTTCCTCCCTCCACGAAAATATTGAATGAGTCAAAAATACACTTTAAACTTGTTTTCATTTCTTAGAAACAGAGAAGCATGGATACCAAGGGTTTGTAAAAGGTTTTGTTTTGATTCTCTACAAAGTCTTCAAAGCCTTTCTGGAATTAAGCTTTTTACACGTGGTCTCGCCAGCCGATGAACACAAAGAAGCAAACTCTGGAAGAAAGTACACGGTTTTCCTACATTAAGAAACACCCATAAGCCTTACCTTCTGAAACACAGTTGATGTTATCTAAAGCATTTGTCCCTGATTTGAAAGGTGAGAAGGCTACAAGTTTCACAAGTTTTCCGAAGCGAGCCAAATCCATAACAGATTCTTGCACCTCCGGTAGAAGAACACCGACTTCTTCTTGGGCTGTAACTTTAAACACTGCATAGCCAGATGCATGTTCGTAGAGCACAAACAAAACCTAAACAATAAATTATATGTTTAAATACAGGATTTTGAAATTTCTCAAAGACTAGGTTGAAAAATGCAAACTTTATGAGTAAAAGTAAGTCTGTTACCCACCATCTTGAAACGATGCCTCGTGTTCTCAGGTCACGTGCTTCAAAAAAACACAGCAAGCCCAATAAAAAACAGACAAGGAGCGTGTTGGAAGTGTTCTACTTTTCTGCTTCGCAAAAAAATATTTTTTGTGAAGAATGTAAATGTGTTAACTATATGTAGATAATATACGAAGTTTAAGTAGTTATAGRAAATTTTATAATAAATTTGACCGACACCGATATGAACTAAGGAATATTCTCTTGATTTTTTTCTCATAACTTTCAGTTTCTGCACCTGAGCGAGGAGAACCAAACCAAAATAACAATTTCTTAAACAAGCTTAAAATAAATACTGTTATGATTTAGGATAATCAAAACACATTGCATGGGAAAACCCAGTTAAATTGACGCACTAGAACTTTGTGAAGCCAGCGAGAATAAAACTGTCCCAAATTCGCTCTGAATTAGTTTGGATCTACCTTAATAACAATCCCAGATACTACATATAGGAAAACAAAGTCGCGCGCAAAAAAAATTGATGTACTCAGTGTATTTTTGATCATTTTTTACGTACTGGTCTCTGTCATTGAGGACAATATTTGGGCTCCCTGTGATTGAACTACACACCAACATGTTACTATGGTAATCATCCACACAACACGTACAAAGAACGCCTTGTTAAATTCAACTTTCAAACGTCGGTATCGCTCGCTTTTTAGGCAACAGTTTCTGACAGTGGTTCTTTTCGTTCATAGAAGATTAAAGTATGAGAGTTGGCTACATCGAAATAAGGGATTAACTTAGTCTTTTTAAACTTTGGTATAGAATATTGTGAATTTTTATTCCTGTATTGTTTGTAACGCTTGGTGGATCAAAAACAAGTGGCGAAAGTAATGGCGGCCAAGGAGTGTTTGCAAGTGACAATAATCGACACGCTTATCGAGGAAAATACACTTGGTGGACTTGTTTTCCTTGCCTTCTTATTAGCGCTATTAATTGGATTTGTTTTTGGAATGCTCATAATGAGATATGTCTTTCGGGAAATTGAGGTGAGTAAATTTGAAACACTATATGTCATCACACATAAGACTGGCATACATACATATACATACGTAATCTTAAAGATGTGTTTATTTGACGATTTTTTTCAAAAATCAAAAACTCCCGGGTATCTTGGTTTGCAATCAATTCCAAGAGAGCACAATAACAAAAGGGATGTCCGCCATGTTGGAAGATATATTATAAAATAATTAGGATACTACGCGCGCTGTGATTGGTCGAAAACCATGTTTGATGAGTGTATCAAAACACGCTATCGTCATTTTAGTGCGCATGAGTATTGCAACTGTCAAATTTTAATCTATCGCGCGCGCTCATTGGTCAGTTTGAATAAGACTGCAGGTAGGGAGAATTTACTTGAATTTGCTTTTTTTCTATCTTTTCTCAAGCTTGTTATTTTATAAAACAAATCAAAAACAGTTTTCCGTGTTTGATAGTCTGATCAAAACACTTGGGATGTTGGGAGAACACTCGAGAAGCTGGAAACCACTCCGCTACACGTCGTGGTTTCCTACACTCCTCTCGTGTTCTCTCAACGTCCCGCGTGTTTTGATCAGACTATCAAACACGGAAAACTGTTTTTGATCTGTTAAACAAAAGAATTAATCGAAAAATCTTTTGTCAAATTCTTCCAACATAGCAGCTATGACGTCTATTGCAAACGAAGAATCTCGACACTTCAAAAATAAAAATGAATAAATGAATCACTTTTAATTCAGTGTCTAGCGTTTCACACTGTATGTACTGATGGGACACTTCGCTTACACACACTACCACTTACACACACTACCACTACATTCAATATTCTATGCACACAACCGGGCACACAATTAGTGCTCTACTCACATGTTGATTTTTATGGAGGGAGGAAACATGCCATGCACCTGCACTTCACAAAAGATAATGTATGTATATGTAAGATATCAGTGTTTTTATTTTATTTATTTTTTGATAAAAAGGATCACAATGCAAGAAAGAAGAAAAAACTATTTTCAATGTCTGTAATTGAAGAGGATAATAGAGGAAATAAAAGGAGTCAGTCTTTCATGAAGGTATTCCATTATGTAAGATCAAAATAATTTTGTTTTGTTTTTCACATTATTGCATTTATTTGCAAAAGAGCATTTTTGCCTTTTGGAGCATAATAATTGCAGGACAAATTTATAAAGAGGATATTACGTGGGCGCGTGGAGATACAAATTTTTATCTTCGAGTGTTCAATTGATCTAAATTGAACACAAGAAGATAAAATTCGTATCTCCAAGCGGCCATGTAATGTTCTGTTTATTATATGGATATCGATGAAACTTAATAAAACAAAAGCTCAAAAATTCTTTATCAAAATAGCAAGCTGATTCAAGAGCGATATCTTCATGTGTGAAAGATATGGTATCTTCCACTGGTGAAAGATATCAAGTTTTCGACACTAGAGAAAACCTGGTATTTCATCGATATCTATATAATAAACAGTTTTATTAGGTATTTTACAATTAATATGCACTCTATTCATTGATCAATAAAAGGCAAGTGTTTAGGTTTCGTTGCAGATTGTTGCTTACTACATCAAAATGTTATAAATATAATCCAATGTAAATAATGTTAAGCACAAAAAAATATGCCAGAAAGTCGAGCAGACAAAGTTTGGGAAAATTGCATATTACTGTGGTCAATAACATTGAATGCACATGGCTCATGTTATATTTGGTTGTGTCACGCAGCATGCAACGGAACTTTCACCAACATCTTTTGAATTAGCTATATATGACTATGTTACTCCAGCTCATGATCAACTGTGACTACATTTTCATGACTCAATTACAACTTTATGCAACACACACTTTTTATTGACTCTTTTCCTATGACTTCCCTACTTTTCATTATCTGTTCCTGCTTAACTAATCACTACATTTAGTTTTTAACCTTTAAAATGTTTGAAGAGTTGAAAGTCTGTTGACATAAAAAACAGCTAACACTTCAGTGTTGCTGCTGACATATTTTAATGTAGGGTTAATGCATGGCAGATTTAATCATGTTCAAGTTTTCAAGTTTCAAGTTTATTTTTACAAAATAATGACTATATATACACAATTTATCACCCTCCCACAAATAGCATAAAGCTAATCTAGGCTGGAGGCGATATATTACATTAAATAAATATTAGAAGATTTACAAATAAAATATGATGATAAATAAATGAAAAACTAATATATGGCATTGTTTTGATTCTTGTGTAAAAGGAAATTTAATCATCAAATTGTTCTAAAAAGAATAAAAATTTCAAAAATCACAGATTTTAT